TGTATTTTAGTAGAGATGGGGTTTCACCATGTTGACCAGGCTGGTCTTGAACTCCTGACCTTGTGATCTGCCCACCTCAGCCTCCCAAAGTGCTGGGATTATAGTCGTGAGCCATTGCACCCAGCCAAGTTTAATTTTTTAAATGGCAAATGTTAGAAACAAATGCTTGTTCCTTAGTGCTGAAAGAAGAACTAGAGCTCAGACAAGGAATTTTCTCAGCAAGGCTATTTACTTCTAGAGAAGGGTGTGTCTCACCAATGGAACAATGGCGAGAGCACACCTGAACAGGGGAAGGAAAGGGGTTTTTATCCCAGAGGAAGTTATCCCCTACCTCTGTGTCATTCCCCTATTGGCTAGGGTTGGACCACACAATCTAAGCTAATTCCCATTGGCTATTTTAAAGGGAGCAGGGGGATGTGAGGGCGATCTGGCTGCAAATGTGTCAACCCATTGATCGCCAGGGTTGATTCGGCTGATCTGGCTGGCTAGGCGGATGTCCCCTTCCTCCCTCACCACTCCATGTGCGCCCCTCCTGAAGCTGCGCGCTCTGTCGAAGAGGACGACCATCCCCGATAGAGGAGGACTGGTCTTCGGTCAAGGGTATACGAGTAGCTGCGCTCCCCTGCTAGAACCTCCAAACAAGTTCTAAAGGGAGCAGGGGTATGAGCCAGAGTAGCGGAGCAGGCAGTTTGGTGGGAAGGACAGTTACAGAACAGGTAACTAAAGGTGACTCAGATCAGGTGACCAGGATGAGTCAGGACAGAGCAGGTGACCAGGGGAACAGATGTGAACTACTGATTAGAACTGGCAGGAAAGTTGTTTACTGAAGCTAGAGGCAAGGGGGCAAAGAGAAACCAGGAAGTTAAACTTTAAAATGAGGGACAAAGAATAAGAGAACTGAACATACTGACATACTGATTTTTTGAAGAGAAACTTGGGGCTCGCTGTATTTAACAGCAAAGATGGCTGGGTGTGGTGGGTTATGCCTGTAATCCCAGCATTTTGGGAGGCCAAGGTGAGAGAAATACTCAAGCTCAGGCGTTGTTGGAGAACAGCCTGGGATCTCTGTTCCCCGCATCTCTGCAAAAAACATTAAAAAATTAGCCAGGTGTGGTAGCATGCACCTGTGGCCCCAGCTACTTGACAGGCAGAGGTGGAGGATCACCTGAGCTCAAGAGGTAGAGGCTGCAGTGAGCCATGATGGCGCCACTGCACTCCAGCCTGGGTGACCCTTGGAGACAAAGCAAGACCCTGTCTCAAAAAAAAAAGCAAGGCCAGAGATGCCGAAGCTGCTGCATTGGAAAGAGGTTACAGTCTGCGGCTCAGGTTCCTGACTTTTTACTGTCTGGGGTTCTTTTTATGACCATCATCCTTTACCACTTAGGGAGGCTGTCTCCGTCAGTCCCAATCAGCCTCGTTGGGTCCTGCAAGGACAGGAGTGGAGTATAACTGAATGGTTTCATTAGGTGGCGCCAGTCCTGGAGCGGATGTAGTGGGTACCTGGGTTCGCCACACTCAGCTCACACTGGCCTTCTCACAGCAAGTCTACAAATGCCACATCTTACACATTACACAGCAACATTACACATTACTATTTATTGGGTCATTAGACCTTTGGGGTTGCTTCCAAACTCAAGAAAACAAAAGGTCCACCCTACATGGACCCCATGCCTATCAAATTTCTCTTTGTGAACCATGAAATTCATAACCACCAGTCAGACCCACAACCAGCCAAGAGAACTGGTACCAAATGAAGGGCAAAGATTTTGATAACAGAGATATTTCTATTTGGCTTTTTAAAATCTTCAAAATAGCTATAAGACAACTCCACCCCTTCCCCCCTCACCCGGACTAGGGGGTACATGCAGCAGAGCTGGGGTTGGTTCTAACGTCACAACAGGGAAGGGCTGCTCTGGAGAGTGAAAGGGACTCCCTGTGGTGGCTCAGAGCTGACCTGCAGCCAGGCTGCCAGTGCCATGCGAATGCCTCCTCCCATTGAAGACTGTGGTGTGTGTGTGTGTGTGTGTTTTTATAGAGATGGGGTTTCACCATGTTGGCCAGGATGGTCTCGATCTCTTGACCTCATGATCCACCCATCTCGGCCTCCCAAAGTGCTGGGATTACAGACGTAAGCCACCGAGCCCGGCCATGTGTTTTTGTTTTTTTGTTTTGTTTTTGAGACAGGGTCTCACTCTGTCTCCCAGGCTGGAGTGCAGTGGTGCCATCTTGGATCACTGTAACCTCCACCCCCCAGGTTCAAGCAATTCTGCCTCAGCTTCCGCAATAGCTGGGATCACAGGCATGAACTACCACGTCCAGCTATTTTAATTTCTGTATTTTTGGTAGAGACGAGGTTTCACCATGCTGGCTAGGCTAGTCTGGTACTCCTGACCTCAAGTGATCCACCCACCTCAGCCTCCCAAAGTGCTGGGATTACAGGTGTGAGCCGCGCGCCCAGCCAAGGCTGTGGGTCTTGAAGAACAGACTCGTGCTCTGCATGTCCAAAGGGCCTGTAAGTAAGGGCGCCCTCTCCCAGCTGCGGTCCAGCCCTGCCAGAAGCAGAACACAGCCCAAGGCTCCTAAGCCTTCCCTTCCTTGTCTGGCAGAATGGGAAGGAAATGGCCAGAGGGAAGCTTTAGCTCTTAGTTGAGCCCCATGATGGTCAACTTTTGCCCAGCTGTTTTTTTTTTTTTTTTTTTTTTGAGATGGAGTTTTGCTCTTGTTGCCCAGGCTAGAGTGTAGTGGGACAATCTCAGCTCACCGCAACCTCTGCCTCCCGGGCTTAAGCAATTCTCCTGCCTCAGCCTCCCAAGTAGCTGGGACTACAGGCATGCACCACCATGCCTGACTAATTTTGTATTTTTAGTAGAGACAGGGTTTGTCCATATTGGTCAGGCTGGTCTCAAACTCCTGACCTCAAGTGATCTGCGTGCCCCCCCCCCCACCCCCCCCACCCCCACCTCCCCACACCACCTCCCAAAGTGCTGCGATTACAGACTTGAGCCACCACACCTGGCCTTGCCCAGCTCTTTTCAATGATGGTTTATTTGCGGTTAATAACTGTTCTCTTGGCCAGGCACATGAACCTTGCATTGTACTCACGAGAGTCCCCAGGCAGCAGCCCTGAAATCATGGTCTAGGGAGGCTTTGACGGCAGCAAAGGCCAGCTGATGGGGTGGAATGAGTCACCTGCAGCATTCAGACCACCTGTTGGGATTCACGTGGCGGCTGGCTGTATTCTGTGTGAGTGCGTTCATTCATCCGGCCTTAAGTGAGGGTCTGCAGGACAGACTTCCACAGGTGGTGATCACCACCTACAGCAGAAAGCAGGCAGAGGGGCAGAGGCGATGCAGGCAGAGCCCCTCTCAAGCAACTCACACTGCCCTAGTCCTTGCTGGGGTACTCACTGTAAATGCCATAGATTCATTTCACCTTATGCCGGAAGAAGGTCCCATCAGCTGGTACCCAGCCCCCGCAGGGCCTCACAGCATCACATGATGCATGACTTGCCTTATTGCTTCCGTAACAAGTCACCACAAACCTAGTGGCTGAAAACAACATAAATTTATTCTCTTACAGTTTTGGAGGTCAGAAGTCTGAGTTTCACCAGACTAAAGTCAAGGTGTCTGCAGGCTGAATTTCTTTCCAGAGGCTCTAAAGAAGAATCCACTTCTTACTCATCCAGGTTGGCAGAAGGCAGGACCAACGTTCCCATGTTCTTGCTGGCTGTAAACGGAGGGCTGTTCCCAGCTTCCAGAGGTCCCCGAAGTCCTTGGCTCATGGCCCACTTCCTCTGTTCTCAAAGCCAGCAATGGGAGGCCAAATGCTTCTCAGGTCAGGGCTTGTGAGGACATTGGGCACACCTGGATCTCCAAGGACAGCCTGTGATTTCAAGGTCCTGAACCTTATTCCCATTTACAAAGCCCCCCCCCGCACTGCTATGTAAGATGACGTATTCACCAGTCCAAGGAATAGGTCATGGACATTTTTGGGGGGCCGTTATTCTGCCCGCCACAGTATCTTCATTTTACAAAACTGAGGTTCAGAGACCAGATGACTTGCCCAAGGTCGTACAGTTCAGCAGCCAGGCCAGGCCTCAAGTCCAAGCCTCCCCACTCCTGGACCACCGTTCCTGACGTCCGAGCACCTGCCGGCACTGTAGCCTCTCCAGCCAGCGTGCACACCAGGCACAGATCCCCATACACGTGGACACAGAAAATGTTTGGGGTACGAGGATCCTTGCTTTCTCTACAGGGAATTGCTCCAGGGCCCTGACTTGGTTGGGGGTAAGGGTAGACTGGTGAAAGCTGACCAGATTTCCGACCTAATGGCCACCAAGGGGACCAAGGAGTTTAGGGTTCAAACATGACAGGTCACTTGAACTCTACACTCTCCTGCCCACTCTTATGCATATCACCCCAACCATCCCCACAAATGCTGCAGGACGTGGCAGGCTGTGGGAGGAAGAGGCTGGAGGAACAGTGGGGCTTGCTTGGGACTTCTTCAGACCAGGGTCCTGAGGACTCGCCTGTGGCCCCTGGTGTTGCACAGGGTGGAACAGTGACTCAATACATCAAACTCTGGGCTGGGGCAGTCCCCCTGGGAAGACCATCACCCATCATTTAATTCTAGAGGCACAAACATGGAGGACACCCAAGCAAACCCTCAGCAGGGCAGTGGAGTTACCATAAAAACGCAAGACAACCTACCAGGCACGGTGGCTCACACCTGTAATCCCAGCACTTTGGGAGGCCCAGGCAGGAGGATCGCCTGAGGTCAGGAGCTGGAGGCCAGCCTGGCCAACACGGTGAAACCCTGTGTCTACTAAAAACATAAAAATTAGCCAGGTGTGGTGGTGAGCGCCTATGGTCCCAGCTACTTGGGAGGCTAAGGCAGGAGAATTGCTTGAACCTGGGAGGCAGAGGCTGTAGCGAGCTGATATCGCAACACTGCACTCCAGCCTGGGCAACAGAGCAAAACTCTGTCTCAAAAAAAAGAGAAGAAACTCAAGACAATGCTCCTTTTCCAGTGCCATGTACTTGCTGTGTGCAGAGCCATGGCTATAAGACCAGCGCCTCATCTGCTCCCACAGCTGGAGGAAAGCAGCCCTGGGCCAGCCAAGGGCTAGGCCACTCAGGGCCCCTACTCAGAAAGTGCAAGCTCAGTGAGAATGGCCTGGCCTCCCACACTGCCGCTCCAAGCTGTGCTTAGTCCCAGCTGCGCCAGGAGACGGTACTGACAGCAGGGGGCGCTCAGGTCCCACCTCCACCCAGGGACTAATGTAAGCAAAAAAGCCTCCCAGAACCAGGCACAGAACAAGGGCTGGTCCTGCTGTGTAGGAGATGGCAGAGGCCCCTCCATCCAGAGACAAGAGAGCTGTTGAGGTGCCTGTATGTGGCAGGAGGATTATCCTACCCCATCCGGGCTCCAGATCCAATGCAGGCTCACCCCTCCTCGGCCAATGCTTCCACCCGGCACAGCTGCAGCATTCTGAGCCCCACTGCAGGCAACAGGCTGAGGCAGCTTCTCCCTGGCCCTCCAGCCAGGCCCCATCCCTTCAGCCTCAGACACAAAGTCCAGCTTGTGTGGAAGGAAAGGAGCCACCTAGGAGGCAGAGGACAACTTCCTACTGCTCAAACAGCTATGGCAGGAACTGAACCCATTACAGTATCTGGGCCTTGGGCCCCACAGGGTTCCCTAGACATCACGCAGGAAGGACAAACAAGACCACACTAAGGCAGGACAGTCGGGTCCCCTCTCAGCTCTGTCAACATCAATCAGGAAACAGCCTGCGGAAGAGGAGTTGGGAAAACGTGTGTTCTGACACCCAGGGCCTGAGGCCAACCATAGCCCTCAGCTCTCACCTGACATCTTTGCCCACTGTTCCAGGCACAGGCGTCCTGGCAGCCTCAGCTCCACAAGGGGACACTGAACCTGTGTCTGTTCAGAAATCAGTCAAGTCACCCCAGCAAAGAAGATGCAAAGGAGAGGTAAAGCCACGTCTTCCTCGAGGGTGCGACCCAGCAGGTCTGAGTGTTCC